TCTATATAGCCATTACTCGAACTTAAAGAAAGAATTAAAAGACAATATTATGTAACTTGTCTCAACACATTCCTTGGTGACTTAATTTTTTATGTTGTTTTCAACAAGTTTTAATTTGTTTATTATGTCAATTTAAGGTTTTCAATTTACAAGTGCATAGATGTCATTCAAATAGTTTATTTTTAATATGGTTCTTTGCTCTTTAAACCTACTTTTTTTTTCCAAATTAATTGTTATCATTGTTGTTAACATTTTAGTTCTTATTTCTGTTTCGAAATATTTTTGATTATGCATCATTTAATAAGTATATGTTTGGTTTGTAAGAAAAGGTAGGGGAACCTGTTACACTTGTATCTATCTTTCCCTTCCTTTCCCTACCTTTTCTTTTCAAACCAAACATGGCTTTTTGATTGCATATTCCATTAGCTACTTCCAATTTTCTGATAATGAATTGTTCCCTTTAGTTTTTATTGGAAGAATTTTGGATTTCTCTTGAATAGGATGCTTGAATGTTGAGAATCATTTTGAATCAATTTATTGTCATTTGTTTTTTGTTAACCGGCTTTATCATTGAGTACTGGATCATTAGTTTGAATGGGATGCCAGTAGAGTCTTGAATCTCAATGTTCTTGTGTTTGGATAAGCTTCTGTAGAAAAGCCTTCTACAGAGGGCCTGCCTACCTGTAAACTATGGTTTGGTGAGAATTTCAGAGGGCCAAATCAGCTGTTGATCAGTTGATTGAAAAGCTGTTCTTTTCAGCTCAGCGCGCATCTTTGAGTGCCCCCATTTGGGAGGCTGAAGAGCAGTGGCTTCTGGCTCTCTAATAAGGTGGATCTTACACCGACAGCCTTTAAGCAATGCGTGGTGAAAAATCTGGGAAGCTCAAATTGACTGTCAGTCAGTCATTAGCTTATAGTTATAGAAAATGCCACAAAGCAGCTGAACCAGCTCAGCTAAATGTTGAATTCATCTCTACCAAACAGGCATTGATCTGAAGGGCCTTGTCCAGCTTAACTTTATTAGACTTCTTAAGGCATGCAGCTAAGCCAGTTGTCAACAAACATAACTTATTTTATGTATATTCTAGCTGCTGAACCTAAGTAGCTTCTGCAAATCACATCACAACTAGTTTAGCTGAACCAAAGTATATCTTCAGCTAGCTCAGCCCTCCCAAAACAAGTTTGGGAGAGATGAATTAACAATTCAGCTAAGCTGGTTCAATCCCAACCTGTCCGTGTGTGTCCCAGTCCCAGCCTGTAGAAAACCCAAACAATCTCTTCTCAAAATCCTTAGCAAATCTCTTACTTCATCCTTGAGGGTACTATTCCGGTTTTTTATTTTCACTCCTCAAGCACTTGGCCAATGAGTGGTTTCCGTTGACATTTGAGAGCATTCAGCTTCAAGAATAAAGGAATATAATGCTGATAATGCTAACAATGACATTTTGTCTCATTATACAAAGTAAACTTTTATTTGTTTTATACAAAATAGAAGACCAAAGCCATTTAGAATCATTATACATGTTGGATACAATATTCTGTGATTAGGATGAACAACTTTTGTACCCTTGCTTCCCAAGTTCATAATATTTGAAAGGAACATTGGTCTGAAATTGACATTTGATTCCCATGATCTCTGCATGGATCTTCATTGACACCAAAACAAAACCCAAAATGCAAAGAACAATGATGCAGCTCATTCACCGTGAACTTACAGTAAGCTCTGGTAATTTGCTGCAGAAATATAAAGAAAGGGGTGATTAGTATCATATCATATTCTTTTGATATATGGGTGGGGGGAGATTCCTAGGGGAAAGTCTTCATATCAGATTCAGGTTGGGGTTTTCACATACAGCTGTTTGCCTACAGAGCACAGATTCAGGTTGGAAGGTAGCTAACAGTTGAACTATCAGTTTTGAAAATCTGTATGTGAAAAGGACTAAGTTAAACATGGAACAATAACAGAAAAAAACATAGAGGCGATTACTTGGTGCTCTCAGATGCCATCATACAACTTGCCTACACGCTCACGAACCGCCACCTGTCCCTTCACACGAGATATGTAAATAGCGCGTGCGGGGCTAACATAACGTTCGTTAGCCCCTTCCGTTACCCCCAAAAGTCCCATTTATTCCTTCAAACCCATCATTCGACAGCTCCAGGTTAGGTATCTAAAAACCCTGTTCTCCCTCTCCTCCCTCTCGAGTGCCTGACCCTGACCGTTTCTCCTCGCCAGAACATCTTCTCCTTCTCCGGCACCGGCACCTACAACGGCAATCGGCGGTACTCCCCAGCCCATCTTTTCACCTCGTTTTTTATTTTTTCTTTTTTTATTCTGATGTTTTCGTTTTCCAGATATCAGAGAAACCGGCGGACCAGATCATTTGACACTCGATTACTGAATAGTGATTTCACACATGTGAAGGAGTGATCAGATGTAACTGAAATTGAAGGAAAGGAGAAATAAGGGTGTAGGCATTTTCTAGTGGCTTTGGTGTAAAACCCACGCTTGATGAGCAAATTGGAGTTGGCCGGGGGACCAGATCAATTAATGCAGTGGGCAGCCATGTCTTAAGTACTGTTTCTTCATCGCAGCTGGGCTGCTTTTTTTTATAGAGTCGTAGCTGAACAAAGCAAACAACAGTTGGAGGTCCCACAAGCTTTTTCACGGTTTTGTTCCAGCAAGGTGAGATGTGAGATGTCTACTTCTCTCTTTCTCTATCTCAGTTTCAACGATGTGCGTGGGTCAGTGGGTGTGTGGGGTAGTTCTGTTCTTGGAGTTGCCATTCTTATCTAGGCCTAACCCAGTCAGTGCAATTGTGCAACGACATATGCAGCCTCTCCTTCCACACTGACCCACATGGGAATCTGGAATTTCTTCAGAGACAAAAACCCAGCAACAACACAGTTCATGAAATTGCAGTCAGCTCATCAAAATAAACAGAAATTAATACAGAATTATCCCATTAGATCTCAAGCAATTAGAATTAATGGTCACCATGACTGATGACTCTGAAAGTCTTCACCATCAGCCAGTTAATAAATTAATAATGGAGTTTGACTCATCCAGTTTATCTATGCGGTCGGTGCTGTCGGTGGGGGAACGCGCAAGTCACGTAAGCTGGAAGTCTCGTCAATCGATCAATAAACAAATTAAAAAAAAAAACAGAGATTAGCCAATTTTGATCATCTAAACAAATGGTTTAATTTGCAGCAGCTGCATTAATTAAAGAAGAGCTGAAAATGGTCTGCATAGTAATGAAATTCTTGATCGATGATGAGATGAAAGACTGAAGAGATAAAGTCACCACCTTCAATGAGTGAAAAGATCAGAAAAAAAAAAAAAGAAAAAATAAAAAACGAGGTGAAAAGATGGGCTGGAGAATACTGCCGGTTGCCGTTGTAGGTGCCGGTGCCGGAGAAGGAGAAGATGTTCTGACGAGGGAGAAACAGTCAGGGTCAGGCACTCGAGAGGCAGGAGAGGGAGAAAAGGGTTTTGAGATACCTAACCTGGAGCTGTTGAATGAAGGGTTTGAAGGAGTAAATGGGACTTTTGGGGGGGTAACAGAAGGGGCTAATGAACGTTATGTAAGCCCCACACGCGCTACTTACGTATCTCGTGTGAAGGGATAGGTGGCAGCTCGTGAACGTGTGGGGCGTTTGTGGGGAAAAATTGGGTGGGGTGCGGATTTGAACTCAAGTTATATCTATTTATTTTGTTTTTTTTTCTTTTTGTTGCTTTTATTCGCAGGTTGTAGAGGAGGAAAGAATTGGATGAAGATTACAAAGAATATTTTTTTGAGATGTTAATAGGAATTTTTTTTTGTACTACTCTACATTTGATTTGTAGGTTGTTAAAAAAACAAGTCATCTAATCAAAAATGAATATAATGAGAGTTGAATGTGTTTTTTTTTTTTTGTTCTTAAAATGATGATGGAATTTTATGGATGAGGTGCATCTTTTTGTATTTTGTATATATTTTCATACATTTTTATGTTTTGATTGAATATATTTTCATACAGGTGTATCAATTGAAACTTTTTTGTAAAAATATTCACAATATTTTGCATTTTTCTTTAAAAAGAAATGAAACCCTTTTAGAGACAGTCAAAAGTGTCTCTTAAGTATTAAAGCATACAAATTTTTTCTTTTCTTAGATTTTTTTTAGAGGCACATAAAATTGTTGCAAAATCATTTAGAAACATTCAAATGTCTCTCTAAATTGAACTTTCAGAGGCATTTTTAACTGTCTCTATACAAGACTTTTAGGGTCAATGCAATAGAGAGTTGTACGTGCCTCTAAAAGTCTAATAAATTCGCCTTTAATGCTCAACCAAGTACGCCTCTAAAACATTTAGTGACAGGGCTTTTAGAGGCACTTACCTAGCCACCTCCTATTACTTCAGTGACATTTTTTCAGCTTTTAGAGTCAATTATGACTGTTTCTATAGATGGATTTTCTAGTAGCGTGCACTTACCTGAATAAGTATTTCCTAGGAAAAACTTATCCAACTAATTGCATTTACCCGAATAAATAACCTACAGAAAAATGAACAGAACCAAAAAATTGGAGGAGAATTACTTGGATTTAAAAATTAATTTTAATGGAATAAACAAATGAGGATTGAAGAGAAAAAAAAAAAAAAAAAAGACAGATAGAAGGGGGAGAAATGGGCGGAAGAAGGTAATTACAGCATAGGGAGAAATAATTGGTCTTCTACGAAATTCTCCTTACTTGTATGTTTTTATTCATGGGTAAGGTAATAGTCCGAATCACCGTAACTTAATTCAACCTAATTCAACCTGATTCAACCTGATTTCACTTTTGGATCTGGCTTAAGGAATTGTAGATTGCTCTCAGCACCTAAGTCACCCAGCTGGCCTTACACCGCTTATTAATTAGATGTGAATAAAAATTTTAACAACCCTATGCAAGTATTTTTTTTTTCTTTGGTACTATAAGTCTATAACCCAGTGACAATCAACGTTGCAACTTGTATAATTAGAAAATTGTACAAATAACTTATTTTTATAAGCTTGAGGCACACTTAGATAAACATAAACAAAGGAAAAACATGGAAAGAAAATAACACAAATGTCCATACAAGATACAGCAAAAGTAAAGATTTTAAACTTAGCGTGGGTTCAAGAGAGATGCCGTAGAAGAATTAGTAGCACCAGATGATGAAGTTGAAGGATCATAATCATTAAACTCAGGGGCACTAAAAGTGAGCATCGGCATCTTAGGTGGGAGAAAGGGTAATGGAGCTTCAAAACAAAGAACCTGCATCGCTTGCTTTATGGAGGGTCGGAGGTTGAAATCTGGGTGTGCACACCATAGCCCAACAACCATCAAACACTCCATTTGTTTTTCATCAAAACCCATACTTACAAGTCTAGAATCTGCTGCTTGAAGAAGCGATCCTCTTCCATAGAGCTCCCATACCCATTCAACCAGCCTTACCTTACTAGTTTCTAGCCGTGGTTCAACAGGTCGCCTTCCACAAGCAATCTCCAAAGCAACAATTCCATAGCTGTAAACGTCTGATTCCTTGCTATACTTGGGGGTCATAACACATTCGGGAGCCATGTAACCCATGGTCCCAGCTAACACAGTTGTTTGTGCTAGTTGGCCATGGTCAACAAGTCTTGCAAACCCAAAATCCCCGAGTTTTGCATTAAAACTAGAGTCTAACATCACATTACTTGATTTAATATCTCTATGAAGAACACATTGTTCCCATTCTTCATGCAGATAGAGCAATCCAGAGGCCAAGCCAACTGCGATATTGTGCCTTACTTTCCATGTCAGTGAGTGTGAGTCCTGTCGTCCAAAGAGATGGGAATCGAGACTACCGTTGGGCATGAACTCGTATACAAGGAGAAACTCATTTCGCTGGTGGCACCAACCCACAAGTTGGACCAAGTTTTTATGCCGTAATTGACTAATGATTTTCACTTCGGACATATACTCCTTTATCCCTTGTTTAGACCCTTTGGAGACCCTCTTCACGGCCACTTCCAAGTTGAGATCACTCAGAAAACCTCTATAAACGCTTCCAAATCCTCCCTCTCCAAGCTTTTGTTCCTCATCGAAGTCATTCGTTGCCTGAGCCAATTCACCATACAAGAACCTTTTAGGTCCAACTCCCATTTCGAATTCATCATTCATAGAACCATCATTATTAAGAACTGCACTCTTCACTTCTTCCATATCCCTCATCCTCTTCATATGCATGATGAACCAAATCATGCCCGCCAACAAACCCATCGACGTAACTGCACCAACAACCAGTCCAACGATCAATCTTGTATTGTTTGTCTTCTTTATCTCTGTAGCCTCTGAAGTAGAATTATGCCCCCCGTTCCCCAACGTGGAATTACTCCCCATAGTTGAGTTATGACCGTCATTTCCCACTGTTGAATTAGACACCTTTACCTCCAAACTCGAATAAAAGTCCCAGGAATGAAGTTGATGTAGCTCCACGAATTTACCAGTAGTAGCAGAAAGACCAATAGTCACCCATTCTGGCAAGAACTTCCTCATATCAACTATATGAGAAAGATTACGGCTCTCACCGGACACTGGCTTTTCATCATAAGTAAAGAAAACACTCAGCAATTTTGTACTAGAATTATAGATAATCCGAGCATCAACTGTGCTCCCATTGATAATATTACTACTAGACCACTCAGCAGTTGCCACAGAAAAAACGGAATTGACATCGATACCCACATGATTGTAGTCTGGATCCCAGTCATTTGGAAAGGTGTCGAACTCTACTGCAATAAGTTGATTTTCTGTGTTGTCGAACCGACGGTCGAAACTTAAAAGACCAAGACAGCCACCTCCTGACTGTGGAGGGATGATAGAACCGTTTGGCGTGAGGAAGAAAGCCAACCCATCACCAAAGTTGCTGTCACTCAATAATTTAATGGTAAAGGAGAAATTGGTGTTGAAGTCTGTGAGATCTCCCGTCTCCTTGTCCCAGAGGCGCACCGGTTCTTTATATATAACTCGACCTTCGCTACCGTTCAAGCTACTGTCGAGTGTGTTTATGGTGAGCTCGACGCCATTTTTAGAGAACACAGCATCGCCTAACAATATTAAGTTGTCTCTTGTCTTGTCGTCGGAACTGGAAAAGTTGAAGGATAATGAATTTGAAGAAGGGATTAGCGAAGACAAAATGATGGAAATATAAAAGAGAACGTAAGGAAGTATCGGGGAATGGAGATGCAAGGTTCTTGAGTAGCGGAGGGCCATTATTCAAAGCCGGCGCGGCCTGTTCAGATGCTTGCAGACAGATCAAGGAGAATAGATCATTATATAAAAGCATAAACGGGCAATGCTTGAGTCAACTGTGAACTTGACCGTCATTCGGGTTCGGGGTGCCTGATCACCCGTTTGTCCGAGTACCCCCTTCTGGATCCGGGTCCACAAACACTTGACCACACATATTTTGATAATGTGTTTTGATACACCACCGTTACCACACTCATACACACATATTTTATAGGTTCAACTATGATATATAAGACATAATATCTGAAAAGCATGGGAGTGTCTGGCTGTCAAGGTGTTATTTATCAAAATTGGTGGATTTTGATCGGTTAAAACTCTTAGGATACCATGTCTTTTCAGTATCATAAATTTTTCTTTATTTTTACCTGTTTTACCTTCCTATGTAATTGTCTATATGGTATTCGAAAATTATAGGAGTTCCACAAGACAAATATTTCTATATAATTGATTCTAAAGTATTCAAAAATTATAGAAATGCCACATATAAGATAAATATATCATCTTTACCTCCTTATGTAATTGCCTATGTGGTATTCCAAAGTTGTAGGAGTGCCACATATGGAACAAGTGTACCATCTTTACCTCCCTCTGTAATTGCCTCTATGATATTCAAAAATTACAAGAGTGACATATATAAGATAAACCTTCCTATGCAATTGATTCAATGGCATTCGAAAATTATGAGTAATTTTTTTGATAAGTAATCGTATGAGTAATTAAGATTTCATATAATCCTCTCTCCCCTTTCATATTTGCAACAAGATATTTAATTATTTATGATAATGCCATCCTATAAAATAAAAATTCATCCCACTTCTCTTTGACCTTATTCTCTCTCTCAACTTTTATTTATTTTATTATTATTATTATTATCTAAACATTTATTTATTTAATTTACTAAATTAGTCATTTATTTATAAATAAATTACTAACAAATTATTCTTTCCCCCAAATCCCAATATTTAGGGTTGCCAACAGGTTGGGCACACCGCACACACCTTCAAAACTTCAGACTCAGTCGAGCATTAACGGTCGAGGTCTGAATTTGACTGCACGTACGTCCAAGTTTGACCGAGCACTAACAATTGGGGTCTGACGTTGACCCAACTCGGGTTGGGTGTAGTGGGAATGATGCCCTTACTACCCATGGCTAGAGGGCGATGACTGAATTTGTGGCCCAAAGGGCAAGGGACATCTAGGCACCTCTCCAACATGGCATCAAAAAAAGTGTTGACTGAGGACAACAACCAACCCACCAAAGAGCTCCAAGCTCCATAATCCAAATGCCACCAAGCTCCCTACCAAGACCTCTGAGAGCTTGGAAGCACCTTGGATAGGACGGCCCTAAGCGGTTTAACAATGAAACTTTGGCTAAAGGGCATTCACAACTAGGCAACCCAAGTCCTCAGTTAACAAAAGACCAAGGGCATCCTCGGTCCAAAAAACACAAGATACGTAGTGAAAAGAGACTTAGACTAAGTTGAAGCCAACTTTCATTCACTCCTCAAAAGAGGTGTCCTTGGCACACGAACTTGGTTCTTAGGGTTCACAACAGCCTTGGTCGACTCAACGCCTTGTTCTTTAGCCAACTTCTCAAGATCCTAAGGTCCGAACTCCTGCACCATGGGCACAATCTCTAGAAATAGGTGCATGACCCTCTTCTGGTAAAGAGTGAATCCAGCCTGCCAAGAGTCAATGGTGTAGTCATCTAGCTCCATCTGAAAGGCCTCTAAAACCTTGCATTTGGCCACGACCTCCTTTTCGCATGAACAACTTTAACCTTGCCCTCTTTCATTGCATTCTTCACCCTCTTCCTCGCCTCCTTCAGCTCATGGGCATGGTTCTTCAACCTTTTTAGGCCATCATCCTTTTCCTCTATGGTCGTCTTCACCTTGGTCAACTCAGCCTTAACGGCCTCCCTCCTGATTGGGCAACAAGATGCCCCAAGCAATCTGCTCAACCATGCCCTCACTCTCCAAGGTGTCTACAGCCCACACAGTCTAGCTCGATACTTAGATTCCAGTCTTGTCTCCTCCCTCGGTTGCGACCTGCCCTTGAAGGCTCCCCTGTGGGGTCGACTATTGATGGCTGTGTTGATGGGGGGCCTCCTCCAAATCCACCATGACAACCTCCTCTGAAGACCTTTCCCTCTTCGACTATCAAGGAGTACCCTCTATGGAATGCCACTGAGAGCTCGTACCAACCGACGTTGTCAATGCAACATTCACAATCATCGCTTTCCTCTAGGATGCGGCCTATAGGCGCCTCGCCCTCTAATCATCACCAGCCGTGTCAATATCTGTGCAACATGAAAGGAAGCAATCATTACTTAGTAATAAAATTTGAGGACCAAGCATAGAGCAAACTAAATGAAAAGCTGACCATTCGAAGGTCGCATCAACCTTGTCCGAATCAGCATGGTGGATGAGGCATACTCCTTAACGTGTACCCTCACAATCCACTGTCGAGCCGTCACCTCCTTTGGCAGCTCGGGATGACCAGCTCAGAAGGGAACAACCATCCATCTCGATGCCTTATGAAGAAGAAGCCCTACTAGTGTTTAATCGAGGTAGGGGCTCCAACAACCACCTTTGTGTTTGGTCAAGCAGACATATAGTTGTAACCCTGTTGGTGTTTCTTCAAGTGAAGGAAATACCTAAACATTGGCAGGGTGATCTCTATGTTGTGAAATGTACAATAACAAAGCAGCTCGACCAAGTACCAAAATGAATTTGGCATCAATTGGACGGGTTGGACGCAGAGCCACCTCAGCTCACTAGGCTGAACCAAGGTCACTCTTTCACTTATCCCTAGGCACCACATCTCTAACTCTTTAGGAATGCTATATGCTTGTTGATAACTAATAAGGGGCTGAGGTGAAGAGCTCCAAAAACTCTCACTCCACTATGGAGGAGCAATTCACTCCTCGACTTTAGAACTAGGGGATTGGTATTCGAGCGGTGCTTTATCTAGTCAAAGCTTCCACGTGGACACTTTTGTGCTGGATGTCTTCGAACCACGTTAGCACGATATCCACAAATATATTACTAAGGACCCCATGAGGAAGCAAAGTCCCACATGGACAATGAGAAGCGCCCTTGTTGGGGAAGGCAGAGCCTTTCGACCTTGGTGGATGCCCTCATTCCAATAACCCTACAAGGAGTCAGTTCAATTAGGGCATGGATGCTAATCCATTTAAAGGCATCTCCCCTTCAAGGTAAAGGATCTTCAACTCTCTAAATACTCTAGCTCTCTTGCCCTCTTATTGCTTTCATTCGACTCGGACCAGCTCTCCCTCTAAAGCTTGGAGCGACTAAATTCATCCTCCTGCTACTGACTTGAGCATCAGAGTGCCTTCCTAGGGACTTCATCATAGGGGCTTTAGTCTTTCTCTACTTGCAGGTCTTCTCAGTGCACAACTTTGTCCTTTCACCTCTGCTTCGTCTAGTTGGCAAGATTATTTGTTGCATGTTCGATTCAACACACCTCAGATCATACAACATCAACAACAACAACAACAACAATAATAATAATAATAATAATAATAATAATAATAATAATAATAATAATAATCTATATATAATTTGAAATGTAGTAATTAAAATTAATAGAAAAACTTCTAAAGTTAACAAAAACATTAAATTTTAGAATGTTTTTATCTAGCAACTTTTAAAAACTAAGAAATTAATAAAAACTAGTAGTTCATAAATTAAAAACTAAAATACAATTAAATTCTATTTAAAGGTAATTAATATTGTTAGGATAATTAAAATTAATAATAACAAGTAAAAAACTTATGAAAATTACTAAAATAAATCATTTGCATTTCATATAAAAATTAATTAAAATAATAAAACTAATAATGACCCAATTAGAAATGTCATAAAACTCCTTTTAAGCAAGGTCTAGCTCAGATCTACACCAAGCCCACACAATAGGGCTATAAAATTAAAAAAACAATTACTAAAGTTTATAAAAAAATATTAAGTTTAAGCAAGTTTTTATCTACAACTATTAAAAAATAAGAAATTAATAAAAATTACTATTGATAGGATAATTGAAATTAATAATAAAAAGCAACAAATCATTTATCACTTAGCCCAACCTGACTAGACCTAAAAATTTCTAAGCTTAAGCAACTATTTTCTTCTAAGCTAGGTCTAGTTCAGATTTACACCAAGTCCACACATAATGTGGACAAAAGGGATGTAAACAAATTGAATTCAAATATGGTCTAGCTACATCTACATCACCTTTCAATTATGAAATTTCTAGATCCGCATCCACATCGAATTATTATGTTAGGTTTTGAATTTCTAAAGTATATATGCATAATAAATGCATATAAATATAAAATATTAAATTTATTAATTATAAAATTTATGTAATTACACATAATATCTATATGTATACATATTTATATGGCATATATATAAAATAATAAATTTTTAGACATGGATTTTAATCAAATCGGATGAGGTTAAATCCACATCCAATTAGATTATTAATAACATGCAAGTTCTAGCATCTAAACTTGAGAATTGAATTTGAAGTCTAATTGGGTATCAAACTATCAGAGTCCAATGATGGCCTTAGGATAGGACCCAAGTTAAGTAACCCTAATCTCAACCTAGAAGTTATATGCATATATGGTAAATATTAATGCATATTATTTAAATAACAAATTTTATATTAATATTTAGATATAAATGTTATATATTTTTTATAATAGACTAAAATTTAATAAAGAATTTAATGTGTAAAAAATATAGTTTTATAATTAGCACAGGTAAGACAATCCATGTCCTAGGCCCAAACAAATATTATTACATTTGAGGTGTGGTCCTGGCCCTAGGTTAGGCCATGCAACCTTAAAAATTGTTAATACACAATCAAAATCTGACCTAAAAAATTTATGTTTTTGGTTAATTGGGCCATACAATGGGGGTAGCTGATTCCCCGTAGCTC